AGCACCATAACTCAAAGGCATCAATTCTTCCTCTGTCATCCTGCAACCTGGAGCTCATCAAAGACTCTCTAAGGGAAATGTTTAGACGAGTTGAAAACCAATGAGCAAAGGAGAGGCATACCAGAACCTGAGAGAGGTAGTCGGCCATAATTCAGATACCTGGGGAACTAGAGATAGTGACCCACATACTACCAGGAGAGGAGGAGGTACATACTATATGGGGGAGGTAGATGGTTGGGTTGAGGGCTGTGACAGAGCCCAGCAGTGGCCCTATGACCCTCACTGTGTCTGAGACCACAGACCTCTGGGCATCTAGTTCTTAGGTGTCCAGGGAATTAGGAACCAGCAGGAATTTGAAAATAAAGGGTAATTGTCTTTGATCCATCCACATTGGGTGTAGTTATCAATGTTGTTGTTGTTATGTGCTATAAAGTCACTTACGACTCATAGCCACCCTATGTACAACAGCCCTAAACCCTGCTCTATCCCTTGCCAACCTCATTGTCTCTGGCACACCTATCCCCATAACCCCCGTGACGAAATCAATCCATCTCATTGAGGGTCTTCCTCTCCTGTGCTGTCCCTCCACCCTCCCAAGCATGACGTCCCTCTCTAAGGATTGTTCCCATCTTGCAACATGTCCAAATTATGTCAGATGAAGCTTCAGAATCCTTGCCTTCAAGGAGAGCCTGGCTTCACCCTCTCCAGGATGAACTTGTTTGTTCTTTTAGCAGTCCAGTGCTCTTCTCCAACACCAAAGCTTAAAGGAATCATCTCTCCTTCTATCATCCCTAGTCATTGTCCAGCTCTCTGATGCATAGTAAGTAATGGCAAAGACCATGGCCTGTATCAGACATACCTTAGTCTTCAGACTGGCATCGTTGCTCCTCAGTTCCTTGGAGAGGTCTCTGGCAGCCGACTTTCCCAATGTAATTTTCAATAAATGTTATTTTATTTTCATCATTTTGCAGCATTCTCTGTTATGATGTGCTGGTTTCTCTGTCCCATGTACTTTTCTGTGCTGTGTTCGTTTTGTTTACAACTTTGCTTATCATCTCCTTCATTTCTATTGTTGTAGTGTCCACTAAGGCTTTATGATTTCTCCTCTTTTATTATTTTGATGACCAGGTTTATGAATTTTCTTGTATCCTCTATTTCACTATTTTTTCAAGAAAATAGTAGCTCTGTAAATTAGTATTTTATTTCCAAACTTTAGACAGTTCACTTAATCTTGAAATCAGCTTGACTTTCTTTCCATTTAGAATTTCTGTAACTATACTTTGTATTCCCTCTTTCTGCATTGTTCTTGTTCTCATTGTGGTTAGATATTTTTGGTTCCCTATTTTCAGTATGTTTATTACATTTTGTGTTAGCCTGTGTCTGAGTCAGTTTCTGAATGATGTTAATTTTCAGTTGTTGTCTGCCATTGCTGGGTTTTGGCCCAAAGAACTCTTAGGTTGCTCTAGTCTTACAGATTCTCTAAATTTCTGTTTCTTTGTAAATGTCCTAATCTCACCATCATATTTAAGGAATATTTTTTGGGGGGAGGTGAGAAAAATTTATATTTAGAATTATCTAGCTGGATTCAGTTTAGTTGGTCCTAATTTTGTTGGTAACACCCAAAGCACCATAGTCAGGAGCAAGTCAAACATAGGCCTTCTTCTCACCATCAAGCCTAATCAAAGTGTTGTTGACCTTAGCCACATCAATGTCATAGAGCTTCTTCACAGCTTTTTTGATTTGGTGCTTTATTGATCTTGACATTCACAATGAATAAAAGTGCATTATTACCTTCTATCTTCTTCATGTCTGACTCAGTGATCAGGGGAAAACTTGATGGCATAGTGGTCAAGCTTGTTTCTCTTGGGGACTCTCTTCTGGGGATATTTGGGCAGCCTTCTGAGTCTCAACATCTTAGGCCGCTAGAAAGTCGCTGACGTGTGGATCTCCTCTTTTTTTTGTGACTGTGGATGCCCTTCAGGACTGCCTTCTTGGCTTTTAATGCCTTTGCTTTGGCTTCAGTTTTGGGAGGGGCTGGGGCTTCCTTCTTTGCTTTCAGCAACATCTTCATAGAAATTATCATAAGGCATTGTTTTGATGGGTTTCTAATTTCCAAGTTTTATGCATGTCCTCCCACTGCCATTTTGCCTTCATGGTTTCTCCTGAGAAATCAGTGTTTAATCTTTTGATGCTCTTTTGCAGGTCTTTGTTTTCACAGCTGGATTGTCTTGAATTTTAAAAAAAATTGTTTTTTAAAAAAATGTCTTGATATCTTTGTCTTGAAGCCTATCCTGTTTGGAGTTCACAAGGCTTTTGATTGCGCATTTTCTAATTTTTCAGAATATTTGACAAGCCCCTCCCCACCCCAAATATTATCAACTATTTCCTTCATACTTTTTTTAGGGGGTGGGCACATCCTGCTTTGGAATTCTAATCATATACAAGTTATTTCTCTTGAAGTTGACCCATTGAATCCTTTTTGGTTTGTACTGTCAAGTTGGAATTGACCCATAGCAGACCCTCTGGCAGGTTTTCAGAGGCAGTTAATTGGACGGAAGGAGATTGCCCATCCTCCTTCTGTAGGATTTATTCTTTTTAAAGATTGTTCCTCTAACAGATTAGTAGTGAAACATGTGCCCTACATTTCACTATTCTGTGTTCCGTTTCTTCAATTGTTCTTTTGTCCTTCCAATGTGTTATCTGTTTCTGAAATTTCAGCCTTAGTATTATGAATTGATGTTGCGCTTCAATCCAGATTGAAGGCTGCAGTTCTTGACCTTCTGCAGCAAATGCCTTAGGCCCGCCTCAGTTTCAGCAAGCAAGGTTGTGTCATTTGCATAATGCAGATTGTTGATGAGTCTTCCACCATTCCTGATGCCACATTCCTCCTCAGAGAGCCCAGTCTCCTGAATGATCTGTTCTACATATAAATTGAAAAGGTATGGAGATAGGAGATATTGTTGGCATGGAAATAGGGCACATCCCTAGGCTGCTTCTTGGAGGCAAGGATTCTGAAGCTCCAGCTAATATACTTTGGGCTAGTTGCAAGGCGGGACCAGTCCTTGGAGAGGGACATCATGCTTGGAAGGGTGGGTAAAGGGACAGTGCAAAAGAGGAAAACCCTCAATGAGATGGATTGACTCAATGACTGGGATAATGAGGGTATGTGTATTGTCAGAGACAGTAGGTTGGCTTAGACTAGAGCAGGGTTTAGTGCTGTTGTACATAGGGTGGCTATGAGTTCCAAGTGATATGATGACACATAACAAAAACAACATTCTGAAATGCAATTTTATTTCTTCTAAGTAAAGTCTAGGTTGGCACAGGATAGAACAGCGTTTAGAGCTCTTGTACATAGGTCGCTATGAGTCGCAAACAACTTGATGGCACATAACAACAACAAGTAAAGGAAAAGCACAAATAGAAGAACATGAAGTAATGGATTTTAAAAACAAACCATGTTTTCATAATATATGTTTGTATGGTCACTGAGGTGTCAGAATCCTTGAAAAGTGGCTTTTGTAGCTTCTGTGTTAGCCCCCATTGGGGTATGATCTCCAGCTACCTTAATTGTAGAAACATGGTCTAGCAAATCATCAACAATTGTGAGGCCAATATAAGGGAATGCTTTTCACACTGTAAAAAGGATAACAGTGGTGGAGAGATTGTGAAAAGACTGTGGCAAAGTGTAACCAGAGCAACAGTGCAGATAAAGGTCACAGTTAAAGGTTTTGCTTGCTGGATGAACCAAGGCAAAATTGACTTATAACTGCTCTGAGATAATAAAACCAAAGGCTTCTTGCATTTGTGCGTTGAACTGAACCTAGACTGTCACTTGCTGACTAAGAAGCTGCCTAAATTTTTTTTTTGACACCCAAATATCTTTATTGGGGGGCACCACCCTCACTGTACAGCCTGTTCATTGGCGCTGCTTCCTGAATCCTGTGGCTTCATCACGTCTGGCAGCTCCGGCGGGCTGGAGAATGGTTCAATGCGGAGGGCCTCAAATGTGTCATCTGTGGGACCAGAGTGCCAGGTGGCTCAATCTCAGCATTCACAGGGAGGGTAAGGGGTGGCACTGGGGAGGGCACCCACCTATGGCTGACCGGAAGGCCAGCCCCACTGTGGCCGGAGCCTGGGGTCTTGCTGTTTGACTGGTGAAGCCATACTCGCCCAGAGTCTTGGCATCCTCCAGGAGCTGGTCATCCTTGTACAGACGCTGCTCGTCTGGTGGCCGCTTAAGGATGCCCTCGACGATGCGCTTCAGCTCATACACGGTACTCGACTCCTTGGCGTCAGTGAAGATGGTGGTTTTGTGGCGCCGAATCATCAGAAACATGCCCATCGCGGCGGCTGCCTCTGCCCTCCTCGCCGGCGTGGCCCGAAGCTGCCTAAATTAAGTGAGGATTTGTGCTTCGTTAATCTTGATATTCCCATTCCAAAAAAAAAAAAGATGACCTGACAGATTGTTCAAATTATCAAACAATATCATTAATATCACACACAAGCAAAATTCTAAAAATTATTAAAAAATGATTGGAACAGTAGTAGATTGATAGAGAACTACCAGAAACAAAAGCTGGGTTTAGAAGAGGCCATGGCACTGGAGACATTATAGCCAATATCAGATGGATCTTGGCAGTAAGCAAATAGTACGAGAGGAGTGTCTATCTGTGTTTCATTGACTATGCAAAGGCGTTTGATTGTGTGGATCGCAACAAATTGTGGCTGACTCTGAGAAGAATGGGAATCCAAGAACACTTGATTATGACCATGTGACACCTATACTTGGACCAGGAAACAGTCCTCAGAACAGAGGAAGGAAACACTACATGGTTCGAAAAAAGGAAAGGAGTATGTCAGGGATGTATCCTGTCTTCATACTTTTTCAATCTATATGCAGAACAGATCATTCAGTAGGCTGGGCTTTATGAGGAGGAGTGTGGCAACTAGGCATTAGTGAGATGAGATGGACTGGCATTGACAACTTTAAATCAGACAATCACTATGGCAGGAACGGAAAACAGAAGAATGATGGTGTTGCATTTATAGTTATAAAGATAATTTAACTAGTGCTGGCTGAAAATTGCCTGTGACTTCATCCATAGCCACTGGTGAGAGTCAGCGCCCAGAGCCATCAGGGGCTTTAAGCTC